ATAACTGTGTACTGCAAACAAGTAATAATAAAAAGATGATATATTTTTACGAAATTATTAACCCAAACATAAAGCACATTCACTTTAACAGGGGGATACTCAGAAATTCACAAAGTAAGGATGCCAGATAGCAGACTCATGGCGCTCACAGGAATCCCTGCAGACGCACCCTGAGCACACGCAGCTCCTTCTGCTTCCTCGGAGACAGCTCTCCACTTTTCCTAGAGCGGCGACTCCCAAAGGCTTAAGCCAAATGTGATCAGTTACTTTTCTTCAAGCGACAAGCTGATTTCATTTTAAAGAAAATATCAGCCTTACGCCCAAGTCCGAATAACCACAATTTGTCTGTCTGTCGCCCTATGTGACAGCAATACTCTTTGACACTGCTGCAGGGCACGTCATACAAATTTCCCGTTTCACTACGTACAGTATCAAAAAACGTGAACTCAAGGATCAAGGCATAGTAAAATATTTCTTAATGCTTCATCGGGTTCATCCTCAAGTGAAACTGACATTCCTTTATCGATGCAAGATGCTGGGAGTGACGACTATGACGCCACTGCCTGGCTTCGCAGAAGGTAGCAGCGTTGCCACCAACACTCACACCATCAGGAAAATACCCAATATAGTAAAAACGCTTGTCACAAACCTTGTATTACTGTGAAAGTTAGTTTGATCTTAAAGACCCTTAGAAAGGGTCTTATCCCAAGGAATTAAAAGTCATGAATTGCGACCTTCACTCATTTTTTTGTTCATTTGTTGTTTTACCTACCCATCCACCCATTATTCGTTTAGGCCGAAACGTATGTCAGGAATTGTGCTAGACTGAGACTTAATACGGTTTGCATGTTCACACTTAAAGATTACTCTGAAGGATGCTTTGTGTTTCTTGGAGGGAAAAGTAAATTTCTTCCTTCTAGTTAAATTGGCCTGTCAGCTTAAAAGCATTACATGTTATGATGTATTAACAGACTTTTATAACTTCTTAACCTGGCAAGAATTGTGGTATTCATTGTTTAACATTCTTCACACAAAATCTCAGAAAGCAGGAAACTAAAGTAACTCCAGGAAGATTTTTCACTATTTTCCAGTACAGTAAGTACACAGATAATCTTAAAACATTTATCTAAAAAAAAGTGTAAACCAAAATAAAGAATTAAGATGTGTTATGTGCATGTACCAACTCCCCGCAAGGAATATAATCATTATGTACTGTAAACGTGTACCAATAAAAATAAAATTAAATTTTAAAAGTTCTCAAATAATGAACACAGAGATACAGAATTAGTGCAAACATCAACTCACTTTGGCTCAGAGAGAAAGGGAAGCGTATTTAAGCAAAGTAAGTACAACGCCCCAGTCCAGAGGATCTACGTGAGGAACCATTTATTGTGAAGTTCAAGAGTTTAATTACTTAATAATGTCAATGAGCTGGAACAAAATCTGCTCTCAGAAACCAGGAATAATAATATACCATTTTTAAAGGCTCAGGTAGAATTTTCTTAAATTTTGATACTTATTTAGCATTTTTAGGAACTGTAAACCATACCTCAAACCAGGAAAACTAATAATTTAGTAGTTTTCAGAGATAAGTAACATAGATTAGCCATGTCTGGCTTCCCATTTGTGAATTCTCTCATGAATTGTTTAATTATACTGGGAAACCTCAAATAAAGACAGACATTGTTTTGTTTTAGGTAATTAAAAATGCCTCTTTATATTCTCTATAAAATTAAAGATAAGGGCTAGGAGTGTAGTTCAGTGGTAAAGGCCTTTGCCACCATTCACAAGACCCTAGGTTCCATTCCCTAGGAAGGAAGGAAGGGAGGAAGGGAGGAAGGGAGGAAGTAAGGAAGGGAGGAAAGAGGGAAGGAAGGAAGGAAGGAAGGAAGGAAGGAAGGAAGGAAGGAAGGAAGGAAAGAGGGAGGGAGACAGAGGGAGACAGAAACAGACAGAAACACAGACAGGCTACGGGCTGGGGATTTAGCTCAGTGGCAATGTGCCTGCCTGGCAAGCGCAAGGTCATGAGTTTGGTTCCCGGTACCAGAGAAAAACAAAAACAAAAACAAAAAAAAAAAGAAAGAAACACAGACAGGCTTATAAGGTAGAAATCCATTATTTTTGTTTTATTTCCTCTAAACTTTCATGAAAGGTACCAGAGGGATGTTGAGCAGTCCTCACATTCAATCCAGCCTGTCATCACTCCTGGTACATTGGAAGGCACCAACTAGCACTCCTTGGTTGAATGAATGAATGAAAAAAACAAAGGAAAAGGGAACAAAGTAGATGACAGTAGATAGATCCATAGGATCTGCCAGTAGAGTCTGATTTCTTGAAGACTTCTGATTTTATTTATTTGAAATGGAGTAGAGGTCACATATCTATCTAAACAAAAGCCTGTTGTCAAACACTGAATTTTTTGAAAAGCCAGTCATATCTCATATTCACAACACCTACGGAAAAAGTGAGAGGATACACTGTACAAAGCTACTGGACATACTAATGCAGGCAAGGAGCGTTCACTTTCCTAAGTGCTGCCTTCCCTGAAAAATGAATGGTCTTTACTGTCAAGTTTAATTCATCAATGAAACAGGGACCCAGGATGCCGAGAGAGAGGGGGCTACTGGCTTTGCATCAGTAGAGATGGCACAAGATTTGCAGAGTACGCTCTGAGGCGGAGTGGAAGCAACCACGATTTTCAACAAACTTCAGAAGAAAGGGATGCTGGACTTGTAAGTCTTTAACCCCATCTTAGCCCCCACCCCTTTAGTGTGATCCATTTTTCATGTGTGGACCTCAAAAGACTTTTTAAACCCCCTCTAGCCATCACTTATATGTGGTGTGTCCAAAAAGTAAAATCTTACCCCAAAAGTACAATCTTTCACTATCTGATAAACTCTATTTCAACCAAGAACGACATCCTTCCCAGACATCAAACCAACTCACAAGGAGCAAAATTAGCCTCTTTGGATTTTCACTGTCTCTTTCTCTGTCCTTTCTGATGGTGGAGATAAAATGAAATGAATATCTGCACTAATAATAGAACAAGACCATAATCAACTTTTTAAACCCAGATAAATGACAAAAATCAGGTAACAGATGAAGGGTCTGGACATTAACACTTGGATGAACACATGGAAACACACACACACACACACACACACACACACACACAGAGCTTTAAAGCCCAAGATGGAGTGTATGTCACAGTGCAGGTGACACATATGACATGTATTCCCTCATTTCTACAAACTAGTTTTCAAAGCTCATGTTATAATATTAAAATGTTTGACAACCTTCAGACTAAAAGAATGCCCTGAAATACAGTGATCTGAATAAATTATACCACTACAAAGGAACTAATTAACTAACAATTAATGAGATATAGTCAACACAATCTCACAGCTAGAAGGTCTTTTTAAACACTGAATAATTGGATTGAAATTCTTTCCCTTCCAAATATTTTTCTTTTTGTGTAATTCCAGTTTACCTGTAAATAACACAAACACCAACCTATAGTTGCCATTGGCAGTCTATTTTGATTAGTCTATTTTCCAGTAAATCTTCCTTTATGCTGTATATCATCCACCTACTCAAAAGAGATATAGAAAGTGAATTAGTGTCAGAACCAATTTTTATAATATGTAATTGAGCGTAACCTTCTTGGAGGCATAGCTAGCTCTATCAATAAATTACATAAATGCTCAAATCCTCATCCAAATCATTTCAAAAAGATGTCTTTCAGCTTTTAAAGTAAACTTGATTCTGCACTGTTTCCCTATTATCTATTTCTAAGAAATACATGTTAAAATGTACATTTATGTTAAAGACAGACTTTAAATGGTGCTTGCTATGCTCAAGAATGAACACTGCAATCCTTGCCAAGTTAAAAAACTGTAAAATTCTGTTGATGCACCATAAAATGTAGCACTTTTTTTACTAATATGCTAATTTAAATATAAAAAGGAAGAAGTCTATTTTTTTCCAATAAATGCAAAACATCCTTTAGAGTAGCAGAATCATGTGAGCTTCAAACATGAATATACAAACTTCCTCAAGTCTCCGTCTAGCCCAAACAAAAGAATGCAATTTTTTGAGAGAATGCATTTTTAAGATTTTTATTCCCAACTGCCACTCAATTTTAGCTCAACAGATTCACACCCACCAACGCCTTTTTCTATGACCATGAAAAACCCAGATAAGGTCTCCAGTGCTTCATGAACCTGCCTGGGCATCACTTTGTACCCTGCCATTGGCTCCTGTCAAGAGAAGCTGCATATTTTCCAGGCATGATATAGAAAATGATCATGAGCCACCTGGGAAGGAGTTTTATTTTGGATTCCAGTCACATCCTTTGGAGACCCAAACAAACACTTTTGTTCATGGGAGGTTATCAGCATCTGTACAATGGGAATACTTTTAACAAAACACACAACTTTCTTTTTAGAGCAACTCCAAGTAAATCCACAAAGAAATCACAGAATTCAAAGCTGCCTTTTTCACCCCTTTCTTAGTGTAGACCTGAAGTGAAAACAAGTAACAAATCCATCTACTGAAACCCAAAGGCAAATCTGTTGCCCTGTGTTTTCGTGACTTTATTCACTGCTGAGACAAAATACTCAACCCCCAAAGTGAGATGAGGTAAGGTTTATTTCGGCTCACATTTCATACAGGTTTCAGTCCATGGCTGGCTCCCGGGCAGGGTGACACGGCAGAGGGGGACTACGACGACAAACAGTTCATGGCAAAGTAAGGCAAGCAGAAGGCAGCAAAGCAACAGAGCAGCAGTAAGCAGAAGCTGCATTAGCCTGTCTTCCATTTCTGCTTTTATATTCCATCAAGACTGTAAGCCTTTGGGGTGGTTCCATCCACCCCAGGGTAGGGCACGCTTAATTCCAGCATCACACAGTTAATCCCAGTATCACACTCTTAATCCACATTCACCCTAATCCAGCCACCTCTGAAACTCCCCAGCTACGACTGCATGAGGCTTTGGGGGGAATCTAGACACAAGCCATAACATCCGGTTTCCTTAGATATCTGTGACAAGAGTTGTAGGGTGTGTCTGGCAACTGGCAATCACGCTAAAGGGCTGGTGCCAGCTCCCATCACTCAGCCCACTAACACAACATATGACAGGGCAAACTAGGGCAGGCATTCAAATCTGACAGCTGGCTGGAGAGGAGGGAAGAAAGCCACATTCTTTTTTTTCTGAAAAGGTGAGGGTAATATATTTCATCCTTCCTCCACATCAACCACAATTATTGTCCACAGGAAGCCCCCTAAGCTCACAAATTGGAACACAGCCAAAGGAAACCTGATAGAATCAGCAAAATATATTCTCCTACCAAAATGCTTGACTTGTTCAAGTAAAAAAAAATAAACTACCAATGAACAACACAGATAGCCATCTGCCAATAACTCTCAACCTTCTCCAGTCAGGCAATAGTACCTACTGGGAAGGATTAATTTTATGTGTGAAAGAACAGGAGTTGAATTACTGGATTACAGACCCTTGAACAAACATGCTTCACCTACCAAGAATTTCTAAATTTAGACTTTAAATAAAGTCAACTAAATCTCTAAATGTCTACTCTGTGAGAATCAATAGCAATTACATGGAGGGTTGGATTATTAATGAATATGCAGTAATAGGAAAACTCATGCTGGAAGATCTCAGTGTGATTCTAAGTACAGGTGATGTCTTCCACGTGAAATGACAGCAAGACCTGATCCAGGAAGCATCAGAGGAGACGAGCGGGTGGCCCTCGCGGTAACACTACAGACTTCCGGCCCTCGTGTAACGTCGCTGTGTCTGCGTGCCATTTCAGGAAAATCAGAGGTCAGCAGCAATGGAGTTGAACGAATGGCCCCTGAGGGACGGGGCGCTTACAGCTGTGCAGCCCGCCAGGCCCCCACACAGTCTTCACCCCAACGCTTGCCTCATCTGCAATTCCTGGGGAGTACACGTATTGTGCCGCCCTGCGGGAGTGAACAGGACCATCACACTGGACAATGGCTGTTCTCTACTTGCACCATCAGAGACAAGTCTGTCCCCTGCTTGAGCAAGAACAGGAAACAGCTACCCTGCAGGACTACTTGAAGGCTGCTGTTCAAAGCACCGGAGATTTCCTGCAGATGTGTTCCAGCTCGATAAAATGAAGACTAGTGTCAAATCTTCCCTGAGCATCTCTCAGTACAAGGCCCTGAGTAAGACACTGTCTTGTGATCGTCACTCCTGTCCTTCCAGGCATCCCACACGTCAGTGGGACAGAGCCAGGACCACAAGATGGTCAAGGTGAATAACAAGTTTGGCGCCTGCCTACCGCCTTGCTTACGAAGACATGAAATGATAGCCGCTGACTTCTGAATTTGTTCCTCCCGCATTCTGAAACGTAGGCAGCTTGTGGAAAACTACAGCAGGTTTTAAACCACACAGCACAAGTAACAAACTCTTCCCTGGAACATGTCTCTTTTCCCATTCCAGTAACTGAAAGGCAACGACATGAACAATGAGTAAAATAATAAGGGAATCTGCTGGGTCCACTGAAAAGTAATACTTACTTATTCAAATTTATAATGTCCCATTTCTCCATGCATTACATTTAAACCTCTGATTTTTAAATAAGATCATTATTGAAAACTAACATTATCCTGCACAGCTTTATTACTTGAATTGTTCATAAATGGATTTATGGCTGCTGCTGAGTCCTCTGAAAGACCATATCATACTGTGTGCATTCTCTCTCAGTCTCACCAGCACATTCATAAAGGTCTTCCCACTTCTACATTTACCCTCCTGCAGAAAGGTAGGTATTTATACCTGGAAAACTTGTCACTTAAATTGCTTTAATGCGTTCTAAGTAAAACACTACTCCCAGTGATTTATTTTTCCATTTGATTGGCCAAAGATTTGAATTATAGGTCCCAGGGTGAATTCATAAACAAACAGTGCTAGCACCTTATATAGGAGTTCTACTGCAACATGAGGGTTAGATTTCTATTTGAGCATTGCTGAAGCACTTCTGTACATAGTAAATTATCAGAACAGGCATCTCCTTATCTCCTCCACCAATCTTGAGTCAGGAATAACCTCTCCTTCATAGGCTCAATTAAAATTAATGTTTCAGAGGGTAATTGAGTGTCTTGGTTTTTAAAACACATAATATTACAAACAAAGAGCAAAGTAAAAGACATAATAGGAAGTAGGGAGATAAATCTTTCTCAAATGGGACGGGGATCAAGAGATGGAAGAGGAAGGGGGTGAAAAAAGAAATTAAAATGTATCACATACACATACTAACTCCATACTAAGAATGTAAACATTAGGTATTGCAAACATGTACTAAAAAACATATAATATTAAACTATGCTGCAATTATTTCAGGATGCCCCCAAGTGAGATCTCTTAGCACAAGTCATCAAGAAAAATGTAATGCTTGCTAGTCCTTAAATCACTAGACTGTTGATATATACATCGTCTAATCATCCTCCCTTCAAATAGTATAACAGAAAAAGTAGATAAATCTCAAATCACAATACTCTAATACTTGTCTACAACCAGGAGAAGTTTGAGAGAAACTACATATTGATATAGTAGACATTAAACTCTGCAGATGGTGTAAGAACATGAAAGAGTAAACAAAACACAAAGTGTACAATAGATAATAAGAAAGGGAAAGAAATTGCTCAAAGGAAGGAACAACTGCGATTAGGGAAAGAAGAAAAGGAAAGTACTAAGGCTTTATATATATATATATATATATATATATATATATATATATATATGGATCGGTGGCATACTGTACTGCTAGTGTCTGATGGTTTGTTGAGGGGAACAGCTAATGATTAAAACATTTCTTTTATATTTTGACCAATTTTGCATGCTTATATCTGGTAACCTGAGCAACTTATATGATGACAACAATTTGCAGTAGAACAACCATTGGTGATTCCTACCATCTTGTCTAGTGAAACTATGTATTGTCTCTAATGTTCTTTTAAATTATTATTTTCTTTTTCCCTTTAATGGTTTTATCAATCTTCAATTCGTACATCTGATAATCTGAGCAACTTCATTGAAGATAACAATATGTAATATAACAACCACTGTTAATCCCTGTCATTTGGTTTGAAACACTGTATCATTTTTAGTGTCCTTGTGTTGTTTTGTTTGTATTTTGCTACTGTTCTTCTTTTGTACTATTTTCTTTAAAATAAAAATTTTCAAAAAAGAAACTATAGATTGTCTGCATACCCATTAGGATGGCTACTATTAAAAAAAACAACAGAAAATAGGTAAGTGCTGGTGAGGATACAAAGAAGATTAACACTAGTACAGAGACTCCTCAAAGTAAGCCAATCACAAAAAGACATTCACTATATGCTTCCACTTTCATGAAATATTTAAGTAGAGTTATAGAAGTAGAAATGAGAATGGTGGCTGCCAAAGGCTGCAAAGAGGAGCAAATGGGGTTGTTTCCTAGGTACAAATTTTCAGTTTTGCAAAATGAAAAATTCTGGAAGTCTGTTTCATAAAACTGTGAATATATTTAATACCATTGAAATGCATGCTTAAAAATGGCTAAGATGGTAAAGTTTATGCTGGATATATCTTTTATCAAAATTAAAAGATCACAGATTGAAAATCTGAGAAATTTCACTTGCTGCTTTAAATAAATGATTTTAGGGGGTGGTGACAAAACGCCTATAAAAATCCTAAGACGGTTTCACATGAAAATGCTGTCCAACAAGCAGCTGTTCAGTACCCATACCTTCATTCCTCTGTGCTTTCCACAGCCCAGCTACCCATATATTCATCTCCAAATTGGATCTTCATCTACACAAGGAAAATGCAGAACCAGTAAACACAAAAATTGAACATTACATAAAATTAAGTCTCAGGAAAGAGAACAAGTTTGATTTTTAAAGTAAACATCATAATTCTGTCTGCCCAGTGCACTAAACACTCTGGAAGCTTTTAACAGCAGCAGGACCCTAATTGCATAACCTTGTTTTCAATGAGTGGATGAAATTACGCTATAATTTCACTTATTAAAAGAACATACAAGTAGTGTGATGCCACCCACCTCCCCATCACCCATCTGCCTTCCCTGTTGGCTAATGACACATGCTTCTGACTCTCTCTCTGATTACCCTGAATACTAACACATACCCTGCAAATGGGGAGCGCTCACTATGCGCCTTGCTCCAAAATTGCCTGGTTAAACCACATGACTGCCAGGCATGCAGTTTCTCAGGCAACTTTCCAGTTCTCCCGCTCTTCACATCCAAATGGGTGTCCCATCAGCTCTTATCTTATATGCACTTAGCTTTTTGAGCCATTCTCCCGAAGTATTCCATCACCAACTTTGATTTTTGTCCTAAAAGATCTCAAAGCCGGCCTGATCCAATATTCAGTTGGAAAATGCAACTGCAGTTCAAAACCAGTATCTGACCACCAATCCATTTCTTCAGTTTCTTACTGCCCTGTCAACTGTATCTGGATGCAGCAGTTTGAGCGAAGATCTGAACCGGAATCCTAGTGCTTTACCTGATACTCTGGTGTAGGTCTGCTTCATTCCCTTCCAGCGCTCAAGAATCCTGGGCTTACACTTCAGAACACGGCTCTGGAGTCCGTCAGTGCTCAGCACTGCCCATTCCTAGCTGTGTGACTCCAAGAAAATTATCTAAACATACTAAGCTTTAATTGTATCATCAATAAAATGAATAAAATACTAGTACCTGCCATGTTTTCGGTCGACATAAGCCTGGATCACGGAAAGAAAGTGCTGAGGTCCACATCTTGGTACAGAGTTAGATTCAAACTGTCAGTGATGGTAAGTACCAGCTCCCGGGGACAAGGAAATACAATGGCCCTAACCCTCTAGGCTCAGACGATGTCCCAGAGCCTCCTTCTGAAGGGCTCCTACAATTGGCAGAAGCCATAGAAAATGTCACAAATGCAGGAATTTTAAGCTACAAGTGGTGTCTTCAGGATGCGGGCTTCAACTTCACATCACGAATAACCCCTGTTGAATGGTCATACTCCTTCTGTGACATATTCTAGATTTCATGTCTTTAAGTCACCACAAATCACTGTGAGTACACTGATCCATTCCTGTCCTTAGCATAAAGAGTTATCCACGACAAACCTAGTGCTGAGCTTCACTCAGTTGAAAAGAAAATAATGATGATGATAATGATGATGATGATGGTGATGATGAGATTCACCTGTGGCCCATATGCCCCGCATCCCTCAGAAAAAAACATCTGGTCCTTAACAGTCAAGTCCAAGGAATCCAAGACAGACTAAAGAGAAAAATAGAAAACTTTACTGGATAATCTTACCTTCCTTATTGTAAAAGTCTTGCATCAATATAATATGGTTTTCACCTATCAAGTTAATAAACTCCCTTAAAATGATAAATCTCAATACCAATTGGACTATAAGGAGAAAGGAACTCACACACTGAAGGCAAGAATGTAAACTTGTGCTACGGTTTTGGAGAGTAATTTGCCAGCACACGCCAAGAGCCCTAAAAAATGCCTACATTGTTTGGCCTAATAAATTCTCTTCCAGCAACTTCTACTGCAATAATTATTCATATACATATTTATGCAGAAGGATGTCCATCCCAGCACTACTTATAATAAAGACAAATGAAAAACAATGGAGGGTAGATTAAAGTTTAAATAAATGACAGGCATGGCAGCACATGTCTGTAATCGTGGCTGCTGAGAAGGATGAGGTAGGAAGATGAGTTGAGCCCACAAATTCAAGACTAGTATGGGCAACACAGGCAGCCCCACTTCAAAAATGAAAGGACAGAACATTTACCACATAGAATATTAAGTTACAGTTAGCTCTAGATTGCCCCCAATCTAGATCACCTGTTCAGAGACTGGGCTTTTAGAAGGCGGTTGCATCCCTGGGGCACTGTACTCTTCAGTGAATCCATCCACGGAAGAGTTCAGAGCGGATAATGATGTTAGGAGTGCGGTGCAGGTGAAAGAGGCAGGTCATTAGGGCCGTGAGCCAAGGACGCATCTCCCTCCTGGCTCCTGCCTTTGCTCCCTATTTCGTGGTTGCTGTGACATGAGCAGCTTCCCTCCACCACGAATTCCTCCACACGCAATCTCTGCATGGGAGCCAGCCGACCTGAGACTTCTGAGACTGGGAGCGAAAGGAAAGCCCTCCTCTTTTAAGCTGCAGGTGTCAGATATTTTGTCTCAAGGATGAGCAAGTGACTAAGGCAATTATATGGTCATTTTAAAATTATGTTCTTGAAGATTTAAGAGCATGAGAAACTACTCAAAAGTGTAAAAGAGTAGTAAAATGGCATAAAAATTGCATCATAAAATAGATGCCTGAGGTACAAGGGAAAAAAGTCTAAACAGATATGAGATTCTGGAGGATCTCTTTTCTTCTCCAGATTAACCTGAAAGAATTTACACAGGAAGTCAGCAAAAGGTGAATTTTTAAAAAACGTTTGCCTTGTATTTCCAAGCAGCTTCTCCGACAATGCTTCCTCCCTCCTTCACACATCCTGCCTCACCAAACCCTCTAGTATTTTCCATGACTTCCTTTATAAATTGACTCTAAAGCAGCCCCTGGGTTTACAACAGAACCCGAAAAGCTCAAAAATGAATTATTTTCATTCCATTCAACAAGCAACATCTCACTCAGCCAAAAGACTTCGCTGGAGTGGGTGGTTGGAGAACTATACTTAGTAACCATACCCTTATGTTTAAAATTAATAGCTACTACGTTCAATAAAATAACAGTTTAAACCTGTATTCAAATGATGCTTAAAATAGCTATGCTGCCTGTGCCAATTATTTTTCTCAGGGGGAGACTTTTTAGGTTCAACATGAAGTTGGTGGGGTTCCTTCCTGCCATTCACAAATGGGACTGGAAAGAAGGAATCTACAACACCACCTTTTCTGTGCAGGAAAATTAGGTCCCCCATACAATGTGGCCCCCGGAAACTCTGTAACATTCTCGCTAGTCTTACAGGGATCTGTCCACTGTTAGCTCCTCTTATGAGAGGGTTTTCTTTGTGGGGGGCAATGTGGTGAGTGCCAGGGATCAAGCCCAGGGACAAGTGTTCTATCACTGAGCTACATCTCCAGCCCCCAAAATGAGCTGTCTCATCAGCTGGAATACTGATAAAGACAAACAGCAATAATTCTTCTTGATGTATGGGCAGACCAGCAGTCAATAAAAGACAAATTAGTAGAAGGAACGGTCCACTGCCATCATTGAGGGAACTTAAAGAGATGACCACCCTGGCCAAACTGGTCACCGTTCAGCACCCACTAGTCAAGTGTGCCTACTGGAATGTGTCTAATCCAGACTGAGATTGCTTTAAACATAAGAGACACACCAGATTACAGGACTCGATGCCAAAAAAATATAAATGCGAAGTCTTTCAAGTGATGGGAGTGATGGGAGAAAAACCATCAATAAATGACCAGATCAACATTAGCCACTCTTTCCACGCAGGGCAGCTCCCCTACCGACCCAGCACTTTGGATGTGAATCTTCCACTGCAAGTTCATTCTGACTGTCTTCCTACCTGCCCCCAGCTCCTCCGCAGGTCTCAGGATGAGGTCATTCACGCTGGATGTGGAGTGAGTACTGGGTTCCAATCCCAGCCTTAATGTCTAATAATCTTACTCCTGGTAAAATGTTTAGCAGAGTTTCTTCCTGGATGAGCAGAGAGCTCTTCTCTAGGTCTGTTTCCTCAAAACCTCCTGTTCCCATCTCAGCTAGGACTCTTGATCTGGCCCACTAAAGCTCCCAAATGGCCTTTGTCTCCCACGGTGCCAAACACGTGTGTTCTGGGACACACTCCATCACAGTCCCACCTCTGCAGATGCCTGGCTGGCACTGGAGGGTCTCCTGCTATTCACTTGCCTTCCTACTATCCTTTGTTTGAAAAGCCATCCCTCACCATCCCAAGACCCCTCACTCGGGCTGGGCTGACCAGAGGACTCCCAAGAGCGCCCTCCTGGATGGCCTCCCAGTCAACCCCCACTCTGAAAATAGACCCAGACTCCAGTACTCCAGCTCCACGCAGCTCATGCCAGGAAATATGGACCACTTCCTGTCCACTTGCTAATAAGCAGGGGCTGTGCTTCTATTTTATTTTTGGGTATGTCCTCCACTAAAGTGAGACAATCACAAATTCATGTGTCTAAAAACGCATGTCAGTGAGGTAGTGAAGGCCAGTGCCTCACACAAAGACAGGGCCCACAACTCAGAGGCAGAAACAATTTAGGAAGCAAGGTCTACCCTAAGATGTAGCCTCTGCCATGTCCTACAAGTTCCCACTCTCCAGAGCTGCCACATTAGCTTCCCCCAGGGAAAAGCCACTTGTGAGACAAAACCAGAGCGGTTAATCTTACTGGACTCACATTTGCGAAGGATAACTCCTGCCACTTCCCATGGTGTGCCATGTTCTAAAAATTCACTGTTTATGTTTGTCATCGCCTCCTTTTTACACAAGCTGTTGTTCTTTCCGCCCCAAACCAATCTTTATTTTACACAGCTTCCTTACAATTTAGCCAGTAGAACACCTAAGGGGCCCGGAGACGCCTCACACACGGGTCCTCTAGATTTTGGAGCGTGTATGCTGTCCTCAAAGTGCCTCAGAGGGGGCCTTCTAACATTTTAAAATTTCACAAAACCCTCTATTATATAGTAGAAATAGCTGAAGTTCTGCTTCCTTGGAAAAGCCTACATTTCCTTTTATTTATGGATGTATAGAATTGTTAAGCATAATTACAAAATTAAGCCACAGGTATTATTAAGATGCAAAAGTTGGATCTGCTTTATAGTCTCGAGCCACTGAGTTTTCAAAAACATTTCGCAGAGCAAGGAGAACCCACTGAATGAATACTTGCCTGTCTTGCACAGCTACCCCACACATTAATAAACCTCCTCATGAATACAAGCAAAATTAAAGGCACTTTTTCAATGACAGTCCCTGAGAGGCTAAGGAAATAATAAGCGTGGTTAGTACAAAACCACAGAAGAACCATAAAAGCAAAAGCTCCAAATATGGTAAAGCTGAATGGAGTTTCAAGAAGATCGGAAGCTCTTTATGAAAGACTTCACCTTTTCCCTATTGTTAAAATTTCAAACGTGGATTCTGTAAACGAGTGTCTATACACATGGCTCAGAGGTTACCTTTTTAAAAAATTCGAACTGTCCAGTCTTTTGCAAAGTAATTTCCCCTGCTCTGTACTCCCACACACCGCGTCTCTCTATGACAACACTTTCCAATGGCGCATCTTACTCCATTCGTAAGGCTGAAATATTTAGAGGTCAAACGCCTACTTACAGATGATTTGGCCAAAGGGGTGGATGCAGGAGGGCACGTGTGCACAGGCACAGGGGGTGAGCAACACATATAGCAGGTGTGCCAAGATCTTCACATCTGGTGGACCTCAGCCAAGGAGTGTAAGTATTCACTGCATTGTCCTTTCACGTTTTCTGTCAGTTTGAGAGTTTTCAAAATAAGTTTTAAAGCAAAATAACACAAAATAGGTCTCAATCATTAATTGCTCAATAAAATAAAGAACTAAACAACCGACTGGCGATTGAGAAAAGAGGCAGTTTTTCATACTGTAAGTATTCAAGTTCCACCACAGGCACTGCGGCAGGCACAACCAATAGAACAATGAATCGGTCTCTGTCCTGCTGCAGGGAACTTTGGTTCATGGGAGAAGCAGATGACCACACTCTGCAATGCCAGAGGGCTCTGCAGGGGTGGCAGTGCTTGTAAGGAGCGGGGAAGGAAGCATCCACGTATTCTTGGCAGAGAATGCGCGAACCTGGGGAAACTCAAGAAGCACAGCACAACCACCAAATACTTGTGGACTGAAAGAATGAGTACAAAGTACACGGGAGTCGATTGGGGTCCAGTGCCGAGCAAGACCCGTGCATGTCTGGGGACTGGATGAGCACTCTCTCACTGTGAGACAGCACCGGCACAAACGTAAGGCAGAACTTGTCCTCCTCCCGCTGCGCTCAAAGCTCATTCCAGGACTTGTGCTGTGCAGTGACTGACGCAGGGCCATGAGCAGTCAAAATTCAAGGCCAGTGGGATGAGGCGTGGGAAACACCCGGAGGCCCTCGGAAGTGCTTGTAATTTCACGGTGAACATAAACCCATTTGATTTTTCATGTGGGAAATTCTTTTTACCCCAGGCTGAGACTCTACCAAACTGGCTCCTGGGATATCCAACTAATCCGTGGGGCAGAGGTGAGACGAGCCTCCTCCGGTCTGCCCTTCCCA